TTTCAGCCGAAACAGTGTTTTTTCTTTCATAACAAATAAATCGGAACAATGTTTCGGCTTATTTTTTCAGCGAAGCGAACGAGACCTATATCAAACAGGTCCTAATTAATGTTATCCACAATTCCACACCCCCTCACTAGATCGGTTCAATGTTCTAGTGTGGTGGAAGTGTATATGAACATTTCTTAAATATTTTTGATATAAACATTTAGGCAGTCTGAAGCCACTTTTATGACTACGAATACCATAATCTTCAGCAAATGCAAAAGCCGCGCCAACATTCATTTTGTGCAAACCACTCTCAAGATCAGGAGAAATCCATGTATGAGCCTTTTCCTTTGTCTTCCTCTTCCACATCTTCTCTCCTGAATCTCATTTGAAGAACTCTGGTCTGTGGACCTCTATAGCTTAGGTTTGGGCTTGGTATGGTGAGAAAGGCCCTACTTCATTCATTCCTCAGAGGAGAATTGTTCTTCTCAATTTAGGCCAACCATTTCCCCAGCCCAGCTTTCCACTGCCCCTGTATCCCATGAGCATTCTGGGCTTCGCCCGATTACCGAGTTGACCGCCCGTGGATCCATTTCCGTTCGGAACGGAACTGGCCTAACAAAGGCCAATCAACAACGGCCCAACCGTGCGTCATCTTCCCGCCCGCCCACGCTGCGGCGCGCGCCCAAAAATTCCCCGAAGTCCCGCTCGCGGCTCGCCATTCCCTGACCCCCTCTCAAGTCCCACCCGGTCCCCGCCTCTTGCCGCCTAGGGTTCCGACGGCATCCTCGCCGACGCCGACGCCGACCACCGCCGACACCCTCCGCGATGTCGCAGCTCGTCACCCCGCGCCGCGCCACCCGCTCCTCCACGGCCGATCCCGTCTCCCCGAACTCCCCGTCCGGATCCAGGCCCAAATCGACGCCCAGGCGCCAACCTGTCCCCACCGCCGCCGCAAAGGAGGAGGAAGGGGAGCATGAGCGGAGCACCGTCGACGCGCTCCTTGAGGCGTTGCCCGGCCGCCGCGCGCAGGCGACGGACCTCCTCCGGCTCCTGGCGCCCGCGCCGGCGCTCCCGCTTCTCCTCCACGGGGGCGCCGCCACGGGGAAGACGCGCGCGCTCCTCCTCGCTCTCCGCCACGTGCGCCCTCGCCCGCGGCGCGTCGCCTACGCCGCCCTGCGCTCCCTCCCGTCCCCTCGCGCCCTATTCGCCTCCCTCCTCACCCAGCTCAGCCCGCCTTCGTCGTCGTCCTCCTCTCGCCTGCGCATCCCGGACAAGCCCTCGGACTTCGTCGCCGCGCTCCGCGACGCGCTTGCTGGCCTCTCCGCGCAGGGCGAGGCCATGTATCTGGTGTTCGATAATTTGGAGGTTGTTAGGAGCTGGGACAAGGGCGGTCAACTTCTGGCGCTCCTCCTCCGCCTCTACGATCTCCTCCGATTGCCGCAGGTCGTGCTCGTCTACGTGAGCAGTGCTACACCTGATGCGTACTACTCCATGACTGGCTCTGTCGAGCCGAATCACATTTACTTCCCTGATTACACAGTGGACGAGGTCCGAGACATCCTGATGCGAGGCCATCCCAATCCGAAGCTGTACTCATCGTTCCTTAGGTAAGGCATTCATCAGTGATTCTGGCTTTTGTGCTAATTTGATCCTGGGAATGGGTCGAATCAAATACCAAGCAGTATATTTGACATTGGTATGCTAGTGCCTTGGGAGCATCGTTGGAGCGTGATTACTCAATCGTGCTATTTCTTCTTTTTCATTCCTCTTGTTGTTTGGCAGTGTGGCGCTGAAGCCATTGTTCCGAGTAACAAGGAGGGTAGATGAACTGGTGGCTGCACTGGAGCCACTTTTCAGGAGGTACTGCGAGCCATTGGGGGATTTGAAGGCAGTTCCGGATGAGAGCATCAAAAGGAGGTTGTTTGAACATATACAGCCACATTTGGCTGTTGCCTTGAACGAGACATTCAGTGTTCCCACGAGGACTTCTGTGGATGAATGCAAGGACCGTAGTTCTGGTGGGAAGGCTAGTAGTAAAAGACGGTTTGGCAGTAGGGATGATTTGCTGACTGAATTGGAGTTCCACATGTCTGTGTCTGCGAAATACTTACTATTGTCAGCTTTCCTGGCTTCAAGGAACCCGGCTACTCTTGATGCAGCTTTGTTCGATTCAACTGGAGGGTCAGATAACCATAGGCGAAAGAGAAAGTATGCCACCTAATGCCATCTCTTGACTTGCCAACAGTCTAATCATCTTATTAGATGCTTACATCATTGTTCTTTGATGTAGGAGCTCTCAGGCGTCGATGAATATGAAGGACACCATGGCTGAAGAGATGCTTTTGAAAGGCCCTGGCACATTTCCTCTTGAGCGGCTCTTGGCTATATTTCAGTGCATCACGTCAGTGTCAGAAGATTATCTCGGTGATGTTGAATGTCCTGATAGTATGATGAATGGAAGTGGAATGACTGGTTTGATGTCAGATGTTCTTTTGCAACTTTCAACACTTTGCAATTCTAATTTCCTCTCCAAAAGCCGGAGCTGCCCGCTAGAAGGCTCAGCTAGATATCGATCTAACATTGATGAAGATTTGGCACTCAAGGTGAGCACCTTGTAACATTCATCTGTAAGACACTGTGGCTGTATCATGATCATTTTGTGATTTCTTTATCTATTATTTACAGGTTGCCAGGAGTGTTAGTTTCCCCTCTCTGAAGTATATATACAGAAGATAGCCTTTGCAGCCTTAGCCTAGGCTGTAACAACTGTTGTTGTTGGCTTTAGACTATATTGGTATCTGATCTGTCTAGTTCCCATGATTGTAGGGCATCAAGGGATAAAACAATTGCTATATGCTCCAATCTCCATCTTCTTCAGTTTTCTTGACTTCTTTCATCTTGTTTCTCAGTCAGATAATTAGTACTATCCAACCCTGGATCTAGTGGTAACTTAACATTCTGAGCTTTATTGAAATGTCTCGAAGTAGTAGCATGTTGTCAACAGCTCGTGCTTCAGAAAGAAAAGAACCATTAGCATCTGAATCAAGCAATGTTTAGTTAGATTACTAGATGTTCTTTTCTTCATGTAATGCCATCAGATCAACCTCTATTTTTGTGTGGCATAGTGGTACCATAATTCTGGAGGTGTTTGCTTCCCCGCCACAGCCTGCTAGCCTCAAGTGCGGCTCGCCACCAGCAGAAGGCTGCTGCTTGGTTCAGCGTTTGGACGTGTCAGCCACAGTCTTTCCCAGTTGAAAAATACGCCACAGCTGCGGCGCCAATTTCAACCACCACAGCTTAGGCGCTGCCACACTCGCCACCAAATGTGTGGCTGTGAACCAAACGTGCCCTCTATCTGAAAAAGATCAGCGCCACTTTGTCCAAGTCCAATGTTGTCGTATTGATCTGTATTAAGTAATTACTCCATTCACGTTCATCATCTGCCTGATCTCACCACTTGAACTTCCAGTGGTATTGGTTAACATAGCGTTGTGCTGTTGAGGTGTTGCCTTAGGCAGCTGATTAAACCTTATGAATGCATTTTATTCTTTGGGACTAGAATGCCTTTGTCTATGCTTTATAGGAAAATTCATATCATTATAGAAACTGGAAGTCATATGTCACACTCTTACACCAGTCTTCAATTCTTCATCAGTCAATCGAGCCACTTTTACTGCATCCCCAATTGTATGATTTTTTATATGTAATTAAGTGATAGATCAAATAACAGTACTCCAAATTACCTCTTTCTTCGCAGCTTATTGTGTTATTTGAAGGTGTAAATTTTCAGAAATGCATGTGTGTTTAAAGGAGCTCTTCCCAGTATTCAGGGCCTCCTACAGACAGTGGAAGATGAATGTGGCCTTTGGTGTTTGGCGGAGCGTCCAAGCTCTAGGACCTTCTCTCTAGGTTGTTTCCCCTTGAGTCATAGACTTGGGATGTCATGCGGGCCTTTTTTAGTCCCCTAGCTGGGCGTCTGTTTTCTTCCTTTTTTTTTGTTTTGTTTGGTGTTTGGGGTGTGAGTTCAGGTGGGGCTCTTCTGCCTTTGTTTTGTTTTGTGTGTTTCTCCTATTTAATGATATGACACACAGCCCTCCTGCATAGTTCAAGAAAAAAGATTAGTGTATGTGACATTCAATATAGCTATCAAAAGCAACACTTCCCGTATCTGCCTTAGTATCTGTTTGGAGTTGAACATTGTTATATGATTGTGCTCCTTGATGTACTGATTCACGGTGCTCATGCCATTAAGAGTTAACTAGTACAAACAAATATGATCCTTTCCTTGTAAGTCATTCTCTCTAGTGAAATATAATTTGAAATGCATATCCTACACATATTTTTCATATTGTTGTGAAAATTCATTGAATCCTATATATCACAATCATTTTTCTGATCCATGATTACCTGATATTTTGGTAATAACAATTATAACTTTAAGTGAGTGATAGTATATGTGCTACAGTAGAATATTTGTGATAAGAAGTGATCATTTATAATGCATAGGTTTACAACTGATGTGCCTTGTTCTATTGTTGGTTAGTTACACAGCATATTCGTATAACAGTATAACATATATACAATTCCATAGTACCTGTTTCACAATTATCCTAACAATTGTATTTCACTATTACTTGCTATCACTTTCTAGTTTCTACACTTCAAATATTTGGAACTAGAATTAAGTTCAGTAGAGCAAGCAATTAATTTACCTCCAAGAGTCAAATAATTAAAATTAAGAATTTGACGCTACAGTTTAGTTTACAAATAGTTTGAGAATGCTCTCTAGTTCATAGAATATAGCCTCAACCAAAGAATAACTAGATCTTCAAAGTAGAAACAAAATAATGTACATCTTTATATCTGGAGCCCCTATCATTTTCCTTGACTGGACAACAAAACTGTAATACTGTTATACTGGATTACTACAGTTGCAAATCTTGGTGATGTGGTCATATTGTTATCTTCCTTGAACAGGTGGCCCTGCACTGCTAGATTTCTCCATGTCATCATTCATACACTGAGTCGTTGAAGTGCTTCATTGGTATCCCATTGCTGGTTCCATCAACAACATCACCCTTTTCTTGAAGTTGCAAGGCAAATTCAAGTTTCCACAAAACATCTCCCATTGATGGACGGTCGACTCCATAGTCAGCAAGACATTTTTCAGCAGCCTCAGCAAACATCTCAAGTGAATCAGGCCTGATTTGACCTGCAATGTGAGGATCAATTATTTTGTTGAGCTCTCCCTTGTGGTACCATGTAAGGGCCCATTCTGCGAGGTTCACCTGGTCTCTTGGAAGTGCTGGATTGATGGCTGGCCTTGCACACAGTACCTCAAAGAGTACCACCCCGAACGAGTATACATCTGATTTCTCTGTTAGTTGTTGACGTCTGAAGTACTCTGGATCAAGGTAGCCAAAACTTCCTTTGACAGCAGTGCTGACATGGGTTTGCTCAAGGGATGGAGCAGCTTTTGATAGGCCAAAATCAGCAACCTTGGCCACAAAATTTTCATCAAGGAGAATATTGGTAGTCTTGACATCGCGGTGAATTATACCCTGAGCTGCACCTGTATGAAGATAATGCAGGCCTTTTGCTGCCCCAATGCTAATTTCTAAGCGTTGCTTCCAAGATAGAGGCTTCAGGTTTGTACCACCATATAGATGATCCCTGAGTGGACCGTTTGACATGAACTCATAAACCAGGATCATCTCATTATTCTCATCACAGCAACCAATGAGTGAAACCAGGTGGCGGTGACGAAGCTTTGACAACATTTGGATTTCAGTCAGGAATTCGTTCATACCTTGATCAGAAGATGGATTGCCTCTCTTGATAGCTAGTTTTGTACCATCCTCAAGAACACCAAGATAAACCTTCCCAAAGCCACCGACACCAATGACATCCTTTTCTTCAAAGTTTTTTGTGGCTTTCTGAATTTCAGCGAAGGTGAAATAGCGGCCCAGTCCATAAGCACTAGATGCAAACATGCTAGAAAAAACACTTTTGGTCCTTGTGGAGCCAAAGCGATTTCTGGAGAGCCTGCTGCAGCTGCTCATGAAGCTGGACTGGTTGGAGTTGAGCCAAAGGAACCACGAATGGAAGCTGTCTGTCTTCTGCTACTCTGGCCTTCGGTTTCACCTGCAGCACATCACTATGGCCAATGCAGCTGCAATCACTGCCACAGAAAGACCTATGCCAGTTAGTATCCTCTTACCAAGTTGTGAGCTTGTTTTTGGTGAAAATTGGCCATCTAAGCTGTTTGCTTGGTTGCTTATTTTCATGACTTCAAGGCCATTAAGGATGGCATCAGTATTGCTGGAATCGGTTGTGCTTGGGCCAACCTGCACTAGAAGAGTGGAGTTGATGATGCTGGATGAATCCACGGTAAAGTCCTGGTAGTAGGCTACTGCAAGGCCCATTGTCAAGCTTGAGAGGTCAAGGTTGGATACACCCATCATGCCATTTATGTAGACATTGAAGTAGAGGCTATTGAGTGCCTTGCTTATAATATAATATCACAGAAATGTAGGCGGATGAGGTACTTGAATCCTGGCTCTGCTTCCATTTCCCAAGTTATGTTGAATCTTGCTTGCGAGGTATTTGACGATGCTGTCTGCTGTGCCGTTGAGTATATGTTTGCTGGAGCAATGAGTGGTGTGACTGCCTTGTCATCAGGGTACTTGATGGTTCTAGGAGGAACCCAAGCCGCCTGTGCTGCTGCCTCAAGCTTCAAAAAAGGTGCATCTGGTAACCAGGTCCTGCCCAGTGTGTTGTTGAAGGCTGTCACAAGTGCACCCCCCATATTTAGCCGGTACACTACCTGCAATGCATTGTTGGAGATGTCAAATTGTTCTTGAGGAGGCAGGCCATTGGTGGTATTTGGAATTAGGGTGGGTGGTGCTGAGACAATTTCAATAGCATTGATGAATGCTATTGAGTCCTTTGGGGTGAAAATGATCTTCGAGGTGTCTCCCTGTGTTACAACAATATACTCCTTAAGGATGGGGTTAGGGGGACTGGCTATGAAGGAGAAGTCATGGAGAAGAACCATATTGTCAGCGAACACACAGAATGTTGCTGAGGTGAGGTTGTATTTTTTGTCAGGGATAGGTAAGAAGTAGAGACGGATCCAATGGCGGCCAGGCTGTGAGACAAAGAAGCTATAAGTTGAAACATCAGAGAAAACTCTTGCAGACAGGTACAGTGGGGATAATGGTGAAGCAGCAGTTGGAGAATTGTTAGCTGTGATCTTGATGTCCATTGGGGTAGAAAAGATACCGACTCTGGATCAGAGCGGAATGTCCTGCCATCATCAAGCTGCACAGAACCAGATGCCCCGCAGCTAATGAGGTAGTTGTCTTGAGGTACAAACGGGCTTTTTTGTGATGCAATTGCATTGGTGCTGGTTACACTAGTGACAATGTTCAAGAAGGCGCTAGGCGGTTTCTAGGCGACGACCCATGGCCTAGAGCCTAAGCGAGTCTAGGCTAGCCTAGGCGTTTCAAGACGTTTTTCTAGGCGTTTTGCTAAATTTGCATTCAGCATTAATAGCTGAATAAATATATAAATGTAGTAGCTGAAATGCTGAATAAATAGAAGTTCCTACAGTATTAGAAGTGGTATCTTGTGAAAAAATAGAAGTTCTAGGGACTAGAATGTAAGAAATCAGTAAAGGAAATCATAGCAAGAAAATTTGCAGAAATTTTTACAAAGTGGAGGGGCAAGTCGCAAAATCGCTCTGTCTTATCCACATCTCATCTGCAGCCCGAGCGGTGCGTCTTCTTTCCCGTGACATCTCTCTCTCTCTCTCTCTCTCTCTGTGGAGGCCGGCTGCAGGCAGGTAGGCCGTAGGCTCAGCCTTAGTGCGCTGCCGCAGCTTCGCCTCGCGCGCTCCCCATGCCATCACGACCCAAGGCCTGCCTTTCCTTTCTGCTCCCTTCCCCTCTCCTTCAAACGGATGCGCATCTGACTAGATTGGGAGGAGGGAGTCCCGGAGGAAGTGGCCCGGCAATGGATCCGGCGGCGCAGCTCCCTCCCTCAGGCGGCGCGGCTCTAGATCTGGTGGCACAGCGCCTATTCTCCGCTTATCCCCCTAGGCGAGGCGTTACCCCTCCGCCCAGCGCTGAAGCGTGCCTGGGCGAGCGCCTAATATCGCCTTTTTGAACATTGACTAGTGATACCAAGGATGGAGAGGATGATAAACATTGGTACTCTTGTCCACTCAAGCATGCTTCTGGCCATCTTTGTTGATGTTGGCATCAGAAGCACCAGTATGTAGCAAAACTTATTGGTGGTTTCTCATGGGGAGGAAAGTGGTCTCAGGGTTTGAAGAAGAGAGGGAAAGGGCGCTGGGATGGATGAACTTATCAGCCGGTTTATTAGCTAGAATCTATAGTATTTTTCTCTCACGACAAAACAGCTTCAGCTGGCTTATCAGCCGACTTTAATACCAGCCGAACAGGCCCTGTACTGCTGACATGTGGACGTCGAATGGGAGCTTGCAGGCCAATAGCTGGAGTACAATAGTCAGGCTGGAATAATTTAAGCATGGCTATCTAGGTGTTGCACTCGCTATCATTTTCATAAAAAAAGAATAGCTGTATCATGTTAGTTTATTCCAGTTGGTTGAGATTGTTGTGAAACGACACCTATACGCGAACGGACGTCTACAGACGAACAGGCGTCTCTTCACGAGTGATCTCATTCATCAAGCACATGATTAGTGGATATGATTAGACAGTTAATTTTAGTTCCAAATGACATGTCTTTTGGGAACAGTCGTGTCTCTTCGTGACACCCTTCCACTTGTATAAATATATTTTCGAGATCAATGAAAGCAACAGTTCTCCCAAATCTTGTTCATTTACATTCATGCGTTAACATGTTATCGGCACTTTGCTCTGCGAACGACGTGAGACACGCATGCCTCTCGAACCATCATCGCACGCCTCGGCTGGGGCGAAGAGGATGAACATGAACATGGCTTTTGCCTTGCCGTGATGATCGATGACATTGTTTTTGTCCTCCATGGCCGCATCGTCTTCAAGAGAAGGATGGGAGGCCACCGGTTTCCTTGAGAATCCAGAGCAATAAGGACGATGAACTCCGACAGGAACAATATCTAATTCGATGGCAAAGGTAAGTACCTATCAACGTATGAAATACGGATACATTCTGTACCTTGTTCCCGGAGGATGCCATGTGTCTTCTTCCAATACGAAGCCAGAACCGGTCCGCGGCAAGTCGGCAGCAACTACAACCATCGCGTCGCTCGAGTTGCAATCAGCCGATCCGCACAGGGGGAGTTTCCCTATCGACGATGTGCTCTACTCGAGGCCGGCTCACTTGCTCACGCCGCCATGCACACCTCGCCCGACGGAGGCGATCCTATCCTCTCCTCACGCGCCTGCACCACGCCCACGAAGAACGAGCTTGCTTGTCAAGGACGTCGACACCTCCTCCTCCGCGCCTCCATTTACTGGCGAGGCCAGCCCGGCCGGCGGTGGCCGGTCCCCATGGAGGCGGCCGAGAGGATCGGGCGACGGAAGAAACCGTCAATGCCTCCGCGTGGAAGGGATAAGATTCTGCGGTTTTTGCAGAAAAATCCCCCTTATTGCTTGTGAATTACATAATGATTTTCATGAATTATTATTGTAATCCAGATTCATGATTAAGCCCCGTGTTTTAATATGTCTCAGTAGCATCCTTGCTAAATGGGCTCGACGGTAAACAAGCAAGCCTGCTACTTATTTTTTTTATTTATTTGCAAAGAATTCGTGATAAGGCTATTTGTTTCTAATAATTCTCTGCAAAGAAACTACATGGTTATTCTATGTGTAAGTACTATTTGTTTAGGTCGCTGACTTTAACAATTATTGTACTTGTGATGTTTTACTATTGTAAAATGTCTATTTATGGTACTGTTCAAAGTATTTGTCACATGGTATGGCAAATCCAATAAACAAGTATCCTTACTATTACGACCATGATCTTGCAATTCATTTTATTTAATATGCAATTGATCATTTGATTTAAGCCCATTTAAGCTTTTCAATTTTAAAGCACTACGTTCTTAAATTATGGATGCAACATTTTATGTGTATTTTCTCATCAATTGTATAATGCGCATGTTCTATATTTGTTTGTTGGCCATACACAAGTTAGCACCAAAGTTGCTACTGCGGGGTCTACACTAAGTAAACACTTATTGACTATTCTCAACGTGCGTACCCAACATCATAAATTAGAACATATGGTCTACATCTTTTCACAAAGATGACTACCATTAGTTCGCATTCCTATTGGCCATCCACAAGGTAACACAATAGTTGCTACTGTAGGATCTACACTAGGTCCACAACTTAGTGAGTATCCTCAATGTGAGTACCCAATTCGTTTGCGAATTAACTAAGGTCTACATCAATCTTTGATGACTACCTTAAGATGTGTTCATACAACTTGCATTAATGACTTGGCATCTATTGTTAACATAGATTATGCCCATTTTGAGGTCTACACCTTTACTGTGACTACTTCTATTATGTTATTATGCATATGAGATTTTTACACTAACATTAATACAAGATTATCTTGTCTTTATTTTGCATCCCATTACAACATCACCATAGCAATTTTAAATTTACCCTTAGCCTAAATTTAGAAAATCTATGGTTTAAACCTTGTTAGAATAATACCCAGCAAAGAGTTTGATCTCTTGCTCTTGATGGTCACCATTATCTAACATGGTCAATGGACGTAATGTTAAACTTGATGTTCTATGGATTCATGACAATATTTGATGCTCCTCATAAGAGAGCATCACCACTTATGATCAATTTAAACACGGAGTTTTATTTAAATAAAGCACCATATACATCCAGGTCACACGTATGTGTATCTCAATGGATGCAAATCGAAGCACTATATGGCTAGCTTTCAATGAGTGATACGAACAACACAAGGCAGTTATTCTGCCCAATACCAACTATGATTGGCCACAACTTTATCTCTATGATCTTAAGTCCACTTGAGAATATAATTATGTTCTAAAATATCCCCCAACATTGCATTTTCGCGAAAGTACACAACTTACCAAATGTATTCTAGATTAATTCCTACATTACTTTAGGTTTAAGTGTATGATAAACTCTTATCAAGGAATCATCATTAGCATTATAGTGATGCTCTATCATCTGAAGTACATTGAATTTTTAGAATCATTACAAGTTCGATGCCATGTAGTAATGCCATCCATAGAACTTTAATGGTAAGATTTAACGCAAAAAGAAGTAGCAGTCCCGTGCATTCTTTAGGGTCAAGGCATTTCCCAAATATGATAGAATCATATTTTGTCCCAATTATGTATGTTACAGCCACACAACTTGAAAATGTCATACCTTGAAACATTTAATTGATCTGTATTACAAATTCATTGGACATAAATATCCGGCTCAACAATAAAGATATGAAGCACGCTTCTATCTTCAACCTGACACCACCAGGAAGGCCAGTTGTTCACAACAAGTTTCATGAAAAAACCAAGTAGCAACCAAACACTTAATTAATAAGTGGGTCTTATGAGCATGGAGAGCACGATCATCGAATTTCCTTCGCTTGATCCATTTTCGGGACCAAAATTTGTCTTCCATTTACAAACATACCTAGTATCTATGTTCCATTTTGATGTTGTAATATAAAATGTTGTCATCAATTTCAATTGAATATCACAATAATGCGCCATCACATTTGATATTCCATTAATTAACTTGTATGTAATCTATATATCTGCAAAGAATGTCATTATATTCTTCATGCTATATATAGACCTATACGGGAGTCAATCCAAATGCAAAGAAGAATTTTACTTAGTGGATAGTTGCATCACAAACTCTATACATAGGGAAGCAAAATATTCCTAAACTCTTACATAGAGACAAGAAAATATTTTGTTAATCGCTTGACGCGATGTCATAATAGTGGGTTTTGGCCGTCCTACTATCATACTCTCTATTGGTACTTAAATAATAATCATGAATTCATTCTTGTATTCTGATTCCAAAATATACCCAATTAAAATTATAGAGATATCCGTCAACGTGGTTTTCATATGAAAACCCCAAGATGACAACTAAGATGAGTATTTTCTCTTAACAACGGATATGGCAATACTTAAACAAAACATCCTCAGTTGGATTTGACTACATAAACATAACATATATCCAATGTTGCGTACAAATAATTCTCTCTTGATGTCAACAAGAC